CTGATTGCAGTCAGCAGTCTGTGCTGAACTTCTCTTTTGAACAGATCTTGTCAATCAATAGCATGTCTGCACATAGTTATGATTTGCACCAGCGAAATTTCTGATGACTGTTTGTTTTGATATTATTAACTGATATATATGTGTATTTCTTAGCAGACACTCTTAAGCAGAGACACTCTTAATGTCCCTGAGTGATCAAAAAATTTTGCTCAAGAAATCCTGAAACATAAATTGTCATTGTTAACTTATGTCAAATTTGTCATTAGTACTTCCTGTTTCTAAAACTGTGCAATGACTTTTGACCCAGCCCAATATACCAGACCACATCTATTCCCCAGTAGGTAGCTTGTACAGCAATTTCCTCATCCAAGCTGGTACCAAGTTTGCAACATGCGTAACTAGCCTGCAATGATAGGCATTGGCGAGACATTGATGTTTAGAGTAGTAATAAATATTGCTAATGAAACAAGCTTTATGAAATTGGCTCCAAAACCAGCTGAATGATGCATGTGAACATGTAATTTATACCATTATTGATTGTTTTCGTGAGAGCAAACTGACACTGGCATTGACTTTCAGATTCTCATTTCATTCAGTCTTACCTTCTCCAGTCTGACCCCTCTAAGAGTCCAAGGTTCAGGTGGCAATTCATTGAAAACATTTTTTCTCAAAGACAAATAATAAAGGGTTTAATAATCCAACTTCTGTTAAAAATCAATGGCAAAACTCCCTTTTGAATTTTAAGAACAAAATTATTCCAATGTCTGTAGCTACCGACTACCATAAGGATTAATCTTAGATGTTTGGAAGAATTTCCCCTAGAGCAGGAAAAACCATCAAAAAGGCGACGTGTGAGGCTGCAAAAGGAGAAAAAAAAAAAAAAAAAAGAAAAAAAAAAAGAAAAAAGGAGTCATTGAAGAGAAACATGCATTTTCCTATAATCTCTATAATGAGGATGGATTTGAAAATACCAACCCAGCCTGTTGTGTGTAGGCTTGTTGCATACATTTATTACAAAAGAGTAGTAAATTATACCTTTTCCTTAGTTTCTCAGCCAGACGTGGCTGTATATTGAAAAGTTTCTTCTTAGGACTAGGAAAGTCGCTTAGCACAGGAGTGAGTCTTCCTTTCTTTTCTTCCAGTAATGCACCATCCTATGACAAATATTGTTGTGCACAGAGGAACAGCTTCAGTGAAAATGGAGATCTGAGAAATGCTGTCGTCTGAGAGACTTCTCTTTATGCTGTTTGTCTTTTATAGTTTGGTTGGGTTTTTTTTGTTTGTTTGTTTGTTTGTTTTTCTGAGGGCCCAGCCAGCCTAAGCCTGGAGGAGATGTTGCAGATATGGCATCAGGTGTTGAGAACCTCGTGGACTGGTTCTGAAGCTTTTGCCTATTTCCTGCTTACGTCACACAGTCAAGGTGACTTGTCTTGAACACCAATAGTATGTGGTTTGAGTTTTTTGTCTCACCAGAAACAGAGTTTCTGTCATTGATAGCACATCTAGTCTCCTGCTTTGATGCCTGAGGAGAAGGTGCTATTTCCCATCTCCTTGACCTTCAATCATTTTTTTCACTAGTTTATGCCAAGAAGCTAGGTGCTGTTCATCTGTTGTCTGGAGGCTGGCCTACCAGCCAAGTAGGAAAGCCATGAAAGAGACTGGATGTTCAGAGGTCCAACTCCCGTCACAGGTCTCTTTAGTCTTTTCCCTCAAAGCACAGGAAAATAATCACCCAAGTCAGCTAGGGCTCCTATGTGGGGTCATAGGGTTGTAGGTGAACACTAGAAGAGCTTTGCATGGAGATCTTGTGGCATAAGCATGAATGTAAAAAGGGTATTCCAGCGTTGCCATCAAGTCCTTCAGCCAAAACCAGGATGTCTTGGCATCAGCTATCCTTTACGGAACAGTCTCTGTGAGTGCCCTGAAAGTAGTGTAAATGTTTCCACTGTGACTAGACAGGCATCCACAGAACTCCAGGATGCTGGGACTACATGGCTTCTGGGACCCGAACTGTACAGCAGGGATTCTTCTCTTTTTAATCCATGCACCTTTGTGGACATACTTGTTTCCACAAATACTGACCAAACTAAACAAGTACCTTTAAATTACTAAAGCTGTTCACAGACTGCTTGTTTTGAATGATTGCTTACTAGTTTACTACACAAGACCATCTAAATTATGGGGTGCTTGGTTTTGTTGGGTTTTGGTGGGGGTTTTTGCCTGCTTTTTGCATCATTCACACTTTCATAAAAAGGAAGGTAGAAGATTGAAGAGATTTAAAGATGGCCACACAAACACTTCTGACATAGAGTTTTCTGTGAAGACATATTTTCACAATTGTCCAGAAGCCTTTTGCATACCTTGAACATTCTTTCATGAACTTGAAAAAAAATTAAACTGCATTTTCCCAGGCAATGAATAAATGGGCTGCAACCAACATCAAAGCAAATGTGTGTGTGGTTTATACTTAAAGCATTTCAAATACCTTTTTTTTATTAGCTCAGAGCCCAGCTCTGTTCCTGCTAAATTCACTTAAAAAGCCAAATAAGGCATATTTTGGCACTATGTATTTTTCTAAGCATTTCGCAGTTTTTGGGACATTACTCTAACATCTGTTTTTATTTCCTTGTTAATTCCTTTTCCTGACTTTGAACATAAAATGTTCAAGAAAGTATGATTTCAAGGATAGGATGTTTGTATGCTTTGAAAAAGCTCCATCTTAGTGTATGTTAGGATACATTCTTCATCTCAAAGCAAAAAAATGAGAATTAAAAACAAAAGGCCATATAAGTAATATCCAGGTAATACTTTACCATGCAAATATATTGTCACTGTGAAAAGCAGGAATATCAGCCAGAAAACTTGCAAGAAAAGAAAAGATGCACGCAAGAGAAGATGCTGGAGAAAGCTGTTTTATCAGTTAGTTGTAGGCTGTGACAAGAATGCCTAAGATAATTACTTAAAAGTAAACATTTGTGCTACGTAAGACCCTGATTTTTGCAAAAAGTGCAACAGATTCCTCCCATCATGGAGAGAGAATTTATACAGGGATCTGCCAAAAAAGAATCATAAAATCACAGAATGATAGAATGGTTTGGGTTGGAAGGACCTTAAAGATCATCGAGTTCCAACCCCCCCTGCCATGGGCAGGGACACCTCCCACTAGCCCAGGTTGCTCAAAGCCTCATCCAGCCTGGCCTTGAACCCCTCCAGGGATGGGGCATCCACAGCTTCTCTGGGCAACCTGGGCCACTATATCATCTCCCTCACAGTGAAAAATTTCTTCCCAATATCTAATCTAAGTCTACCCTCTTTCAGCTTAAAACAGATCCGCCTCATCCTATCACTACATTTACTGATAAAGAGTGCCTCCCCATCTCTCCTGTAGGCTCCCTTTAAGTACTGGAAAGCTGCTCTAAGGTCCCCTCAGAGACTTCTTTTCTCCAGGCTAAAAAACCCAGCTCTCTCAGCCTATCCTCAAACAGAAGGTGCTCCAGCCCTCTGACCACCTTTGTGGCCCTCCTCTGGACCCGCTCCAACAGTTCCATGTCCTTCTTATGCTGGGGGCCCCAGAGTTGAACACAGTACTCCAACCCTTTTTCTATACTACTATTTATTTAATTCTAAAGTGTAAGTCACAGTTAGATTTATTAGTTTAATCTTACTGGGATTACTGCCTTTGCATTTGGGCAGCATACTTGTCAGTCTCTTTCCTCTTCTCCTACTGCTCATTAGTTTTCTGGGGTAATAAACCTCTCTCACTTCCCTAAGTATTACTTTAAAATAATTTAGTATTTTTACAAGGAAATGATCCAGTCTCATGAGTATCATTCACTGCTGATGCCTCCTGCTTTCCACGGAAGACACAGCCTTTTAGGCAATTTGTTAACTTCTCAACACCTTGGAGAAAAAAAAAAAAAAAAAAAAAAAAAGAAAAAAAGTCAGCCCTTTTCAGGCTCTAATTGTACCCAAATGAGATTTACCGAGAAGAAGTAGATATTGAAGTGCCACTGAAAGAAGGATGAACTAAGGATACTCTGGCCACCCAAAAACTGACGGAGCTTGCTTGAAGGGACTTGATTTTCTACTACATTATTCCAAGCATCTCTAGAGCACTGAGACTTGTCAGAAAAACACTACTGCTGCTGAGCTTAACTCTGTGGTTCTAGCAGTGTAGTACTGGGAACGAGATGATACAAAATGTGCCATTCACGTCAAAGTGAGAGGTCTTTCTTTGGTTGGTTGGTTGGTTGGCTAGTTGATTTTTTTCCCCTGTTGAAGAAGCCATGCTTATTAGTTGTGTATCTGTTCTAGCAAGCATGGAGAACTTGGGAGGCCTGTGCCTCAGTGCAGTACTACTTGTTCTTCAGGATCAGTGGGCTAGTGCTTTCTTTCTCCCAAACCACTTCACCCAAACTGCAAACACAGGGGTGAAAAAAAAAAATAAAATAAAGTGACAGCAGCAGCCTCCTTTGCTAGGATTCAAAGAGGAAGATTTCTAACTTTGGAGGATATCAGTCACATAAGGAGGGATGAAAATGCTGTACAACACCACAGGCTCATGCATCCACAAAAATACTGCTCTTGACAGATTGCCACTGAGTTTTCCAAAGGAAGTTGAGGAGAAACAGTGGTATGTTGTACATTTTCTCCTCTTCCTTGCTTGTGTATCATTTTCCTTACAGGCAAAAGGACAGGGAAGAACAGCACAGTCTTAATCAGTTAACTATGCATAAGAATACCTCCCGAGCCCTCTGTCCTTCATTAAACTGATTATTTACTTTTGCTAGAGACTAGAAGCATTATTAGAAACATTCGTAAAGCATAGTGACAAACCTTTCTCTCCTTCACAGCCTTGCTTTCTGATATTTATTACTGGGACCAAATTGTGGAGTTTTATGGGTTTTGTAACCCACAAAGCTCATCAACAATTTGCTGTCAGCTGCATTTACCAGCTCCCTTTAGAAGATATCAAAAAACATTGCATATTTCTCTTTCAGTTATTCAATTTGGCTTTGTCACACTCTTCGTTGCCTCCTTCCCTCTGGCACCTCTCTTTGCTCTTCTGAACAACATCATAGAAGTCCGGCTTGATGCAAAAAAATTTGTTACTGAACTGAGGAGGCCAGACACAGTAAGAGCAAAAGATATAGGTAAGTAATGAAAAAATATAACATAATGTAATAACACAAAAAAAAACTCAATAAAGAAGAAGAAAAATTATAGTAAATCCATTAATAAGATCTGTTTTTTCACTTACAGGAATTTGGTATAACATTTTGAGTTGTATTGGAAAGCTTTCAGTTATCATTAATGTAAGTATTTGGTTACACCAGTTTCTAACCATGATCTTGGGAGCTTATGTTGTCCCTCCAACATAATTTAAAAGCGAAGTCTAATTTTCTCGATTGCTATAAAATACGGTAAAATCTAAGTTATCCAGTTCATTCTCGTGGAAGTGTGAAACATTATTTAATTACAAACAAGATGACCATTCACTCATCTCGTTCTCTCTGTCCTTGTGTTATGTAGGACAGGAAGACTAATTCATGTAAGAACAACCAATGAAGGAGATGTAAGCAGGCAATGATCCAGATAATTGATAAAGATCTACTTCTCATTCATACCCATGACTTTTTCTGTTCCTCTGCTAGTATAACTGTTGTTATGAATAAAAAGGATGCACATATAACATCCTAGATTCTAGGAACAGAAAGTCCTTAACTAGGCAGCATTAGCAATTTGTTCTGTTATGTACAGGTATGGTTATATCCCTAAACATAATTTCTCCCACAGAGTGAGTATTTCTGTAAGAGTAGTGTGTTTTGTTTTGGTTTGGTTTGTTTTTTTTTGAGATGGGTACACACTTCCCAAGCTACAAAATCTTAATGGGAAAATCTATTCTTTCATAGAACAAGAATGAGTACCTGAACATAATGTGTGTCTGGTATACAGTAATATTATGTTTATTGTTCTACATGTGTTCCTTAAGTAAAATTTTCCTGTATATGCTTTAAGATAAAAAGACTCATTTCCTAGGAGTTTAATCACACTATCTAGTGGAGTTTTGACCCACAAATCATAGAATCATAGAATCATTTAGGTTCAAAAAGACCTTTACGACTATTGAGTCCAACCATAAAATACCAAAGATATTGAAGCACTTTAGAAGGGCAAATGATTGTCAGTACTGAAGGGGAAGCTTGTGCAGAGGTGTTATGCAATTTATCTAGTACAATAGCTTCCAGCACAACAGCACTGTGTAGCAGTATGTAAGCTATTATTACAACTGGGAGAACTATCATGCCTCCAGAGAAGCAGTGTTTTTTGACTTGGGTGGAGCTTTGTTCTTTTATGGCTTGTCAGTTTCTAGGATTAAAGGTAGGAAATCTGTGCAGCCCTGAACATACCCATAATTTAGCTGTCAGGCATAGATTTCAGGTTTCCAGCACTGCTCTGTGCTCAGTGACCAAACCTCTGTAGCCTTTTGGTTTAATCTGAATACACTTTGCAGACTTAGGATCCTTGATTATCTCCTGTGTCAAACAAACTCTGAACATTTTTATTTCCTGGGGATTTCATTAAAATATCAATTATCTAATTTTTATTGACAGAAATGTAAATATGTGCATATCCAATTTAAAAAAAAAAAAATTCTGAATGTCCGGTTCTGCTTCTCCATCTGAATAATATTGGTGTAGAAGATTTCCTTAGCAAAATTTAGTTTTAAATTAATTGAATATGATCTAGATACTTCTGTGTCCGATTCATTTCACAATTATACCAGTTTTATACCAGCATGAGATCCATCAAAGTCAAACGTGGAAACTCTGATGCAGGGGGAAATGTAGGATGACTACCTTACACTCATCTGGTTTATCTCAGATAACAAGTGTGTAACTACACCAAATTATACTCCAAATTATACCAGGTAGCTATCAATCATGTTTTGTCATAGTTTTTTAAAAACTAGTGATAGACCTCCTAATGGCTCCAGGGATGAAAAGGGTTGGAGAAATATACAGTACACTAACTGCTTTTGCTACTTTATGCTCTAAAAAATATTCCATTTCCCTAACTACAACCTTTTTCTGGAGAGACAGAGCGGGTTACTGTGCATTTATATATGTTCTATACCAGGTCTGGCCATTTAACTCTTACTTCATCACCACTCTGAACTTATTTGAATGTGAAAATTATTGCCTGAATTAACCTGAAACATGTTAAACATAGATTCATGACACTGTTGTTTGGTTGGATTTTTTTCATCTCTCAGGCTTTTGTAATTGCTGTCACCTCTGATTTCATTCCACGCCTTATGTATCAATACGCATATAGTCAAAATGGAACCATGCATGGCTTCATCAATCACACGCTCTCATACTTCAATGTCAGTCATCTCAAGGCTGGAACACAGCCAGAAAACTCCCTGTTTGCACAGGATGTTTTATTCTGCAGGTAAAGTACTTCTAATAACAGGTTGCATAATCAAAGTAATTTCTTTGGGTCTTTTGTCAAACTAAATTTTTCTAAGTGGCAACTGATAAGATTTGTGCCTTTAAAACGGTGGTTTTAAGAGTATTCTCACTATCTTAGAAGGTTCTTAAAAGGGTTTTACCAGTGCATTAAAAGGCAAAATAAATAATTAAGGCAAACTTATGGAAAATTATTTATTTACTGAAAGACATAACTTTCATTAAAAACAATGAGTTTCAAAATGGACATCCACTAATTAGAACCAGGCTTTCTTTTTCTTTATGAAGTTCAGTGTTTGTTTGATGAGATCTGAGTTTTCAATATATTCTGCCCATCTTTAAGACCTGCACTGTTCCCCATCCACATGTCTTATATTTCAGATTCGTCTTTTCAAACTGGGGAACCAAGGCTTGACTTCCTTTAAAATATGTCCAAAATGTCTATTCCACTGCTCCCGTAGTGCAGATACCTATGGAGTTGTTCCAGTTTGCATGAGAAATCACCAACTTGGTTCCAGGGCTCTCAAAGTAACCTTTCTTTATTATAAAATTATGCAGAAAATCAAAGAGCTGTTTTAAGGCAGTATAACCCAAGGCTGTTCAAAACTGAGCTCCTTGGATCAGTGCTATATTCAGTGCCTGCCTCAACTTCCCTTTGGACTCCCTTGAAATCACACTGTGCTTAGCCTCTACAATGGCAAGAAAACATCACAAAACTTGCTCTTCCAATTTCTTTGAAAGGAGAGTCTTCATTTATATGGTTTTTACTACACACAGGTCTTTAATTGACCTTCCTTGTTTTGATGCATAATATATTCACATATCTTCATTGTCTTTTTCTGATGTGTGTCAAGGTTTTTGAATCTGGTACTCCTGACAGTTAACATCTGAACCTGTCCTGGTTCTAAAACCAGTTTCCCCTCTGTCTTTCCCAGCCACCTTTCTCCATCTCAGGTCTTTGTTCTCCTTCTTTCATTGTGTGGTTTTACTTGGAGAACAAATTTTTGGCTAAGGCACCAGAGGCGGGATTCTCGAAATCTATTACTGTATTCTCTCAGAATCACTGTCAAAGGAAGGACATAAAATCAGTTACCAAGCAGAGCAGAATGATGGGACAAACCTCACAGGTGATATTCGCATACCATCGAGCATCAGATTGACCTTTTCTTGCAATACTGGTCTGCTGAATACTCAGATACTGGCAGAAAATACTGTTAGTATTGTAGATATTTTATATATCAAGTAGTGTTCTCTGGTTAGAGCTTCAGAATTCTTCTTTCTTCCCATTCACTTGAATTCATTGTCCTTGACAAATCTATATTCAAAATACAGACAGATTCCTTCATTATTAGTTCCAATGATCCCTACATGTCTGCATGGCTGATATTCAGAGTTTCTTAAAGAAACTGTATTTAAAGTCAATACAGATATGAAAGGCAGATGCAAATTTTTATTCAGTTCTGTTATGTTATGACTATTAGTCTCTTCTATAAATCTGAAAGAGCGGCTCTCGGTATGACATAGAAGGCTTGTGACTAAAGCTAGTTAGGATGCACATTTTTGCCCTTACAAAACCTTTGTCTTCATGTTAAACTCGGGGAGGGAAAATATTTCAAATAAATAATTTTGATTTAAAAAAAAATAAAATACACAAAATTCAATTAATTTTAAATATTTTCCGATTTTACCGTTCTAAAAATAATTTAGAAACAAGCAGCCACTTGAAAGCAAAGAGAAAAATTAACTTTGTAATTGTGTTTCTAACTTAGATGCTGTAAATCGCCCTTCAGAACAGTTAACTTGTTTTCACTGATTACTTAAGGGGTCATATTCTAGCTACGTCCCTGAAGCAGCCAAAAAAACTTCCCCTTACTCCTAAATGACTGCACATTTCTAAATGTAGGCTACAACCCTATCTCCCACAAAATCAGGGGTATTTTTCCATTCTGATTTTCTTAAGGAATAAGAAGTTTGGCTAAAACAGCCTGAGAAGGAGCAGATGGAAACAACAAGGCCTGCAAATCCATACCCATCTTAGAGAATATATTAAACATCATAATGTAATAATTTGCAAGAAAGAAGTCTTGAAGTTGGCATTATTCAGTGTAGCCTGTGCATGTTTATCTCCTGCTCTCGTGCAAGCAAACTTTAATCATACTTAGGATCCCACTGATTTTAAGCAGGGTATTTGTCTCTCTCAACTATAACCCATAAAAATTATGTATCTTGGTTCCTTCACTGGAAGCAGAGCAAATGCAGAGAGAATTCAGGCACTGCAATTGGGATTGCCTTTGGGATGTACCTACCTTCTTACCTTGACTGCAACGGAGGCAAGATAAGTGCACAGATAAAACTCCTAACTTTTAAGGAGGTAAAGAGAGAGAATATAACTTAGCATGTCCCAGTGTCAGGAACTTTGTTAAAGGGATCGGTGCTGCCTCTCAGGAGGCAGTCAGATGAGAGCTGAGGGCAGACAGAAAGGGAAAAAAAAAAAAGCTCTCTGGTGCTTAGGGCTGCATGCTGTGCTCTACATGCTGTTTTGCTTGTGATGGACAAGGTAAAGCATTTTAAACCTGGGGGCTGTCCTCTTTCTTTTCTCAAAATGTTGTTCCCTGTGAGCTCTGCTATTCCCCAAATTAGCCTGTATTTTCCTTCAACAAGCATCTTGGTCCACACGGATCTCCCACTTCACTGTGACTTCGCTGATTTCATTTTGCTACTGTTTACCTCGTCACAGGTATGAGTGACAGTGTATTTGGAAATGTCTGCATTAACAACAGCGGTGAAAGGTGCTCCTCAGATTAGCATGGATTCAACAGAGCCAAAATACAGGGAAAAGGGAACAATCCACACTAGGTATAAAAATGGTCCCCATCTGATAATATCAAGTCTATGCCATTAAAAAAAAAAAAAAAAAGAAAGAAAAAAAAAAAGAAAAAAATTGATTGCAAACATGGCAAACATGAAGCATGTACTAAATGTTTGACCATGTACTAGTCTGAATGAGAAACAACTACGAGAGCATTTCTGTTCCATTATCAGGGAATAATTAGGAAAGGATGTCAACTTCCACATTCACTGTTTCTCATTATCACCCCACCTCATTTGAATCTTATCAAAATCTCGTTTTTGGACAGAACTATCACTGTGACAAAATATGGGGTATCTAGCTTGTGTCCCAAGAGACAAGCAACAAACCCTGTCCCTTAAACTGGAAAGCTTGAAATAAAATCTGCTTTTCTGTTTCTGGCAAATACGTTGGGAACAAGCTGACCTCTCTTATTCTTAGATTTCTGTGACCTCTGGAGATAAATGTGGTTACAATAAGCCTGAATGTTACCCCTTACGGGCATTGCCAGACATTAAGGTATCTTAAAAATAACCATAACGAGCCAGAAACAACTCTCCCACTGAACATCCAGAATACATTCTTTGAATATTTTGAGCAGCATTTTCTACAATGCTGTGAACTCTTTGGCACTGCTTCCAAATAAACATTGCTGTAATGACATTCTGTGGAGTTGTAATGATTTTTTTTCAGAGCGAAATATCATTTGTGTAGCTAAAGGCAAATTAAAAGCAAACCTTGCTAAGTTACGTGACATTTTTATTTCTTTAGTCTTTTTAGTCCTTATAATCTGGTATGATAATGGAGTACATGAAAGCCTGCTGATCACACTGACAAGAAAGCAGCAGATAGGGAGACATTAAAGGGATTTTTCCCTTAACACAAGCCTGCTCCAATATTCAGCAAATTTCTAAAGTGTCTTTGAATGAATTAATTTTCTTAATGCCCCTGGATTCATCTCATCTACTCCCAGTGATCAATCGTGGATTCTAACATTTTTCCCTGAAAAAAATCTTATATACTCCTGCATTGCTGAAGAACTACTCCTTGTGATTCAGTCATGTTTTCTTCAATTTCTTGTCAAAGACCAGCTGAAAAAGGAAATGAAACAGAAGCTGATTTAGTCTGATTCACAATTCCACTTACATACACATTTTGATTTTTAGTACCAGTCTTTCTTTTTCCCCACACAATAGGCTTATTAAATATACTTGCATATTTCTCTTAGCTCTGACTGCAGTTCAGTTTTGTGTAAGTTTTGCCTAGTCCTCTCCATCCATCCTCACGTCCCCAACATATCTCTACTTTCATTGTGCATTTTTGTTTTTTCCCCTCAGAACTTTTTCATGCTTTATTCTTAAACCATATTGACTACTTCATATTCTTGTCCTTTTTCAGTGGGTTAGAGTTGTTTGCTATTTTTGAAACACAACAGTCTTTGTGGCAACAGTTGTTTCTTTCCCAAGCATACCTGCTGAAAGAAATATTTTCATAGAATCATAGAATCATAGAATGGTTTGGGTTGGAAGGGACCATAGAGATCATCTACTTCCAACCCCCCTGCCATGGGCAGGGACACCCTCCACTAGCCCAGGTTGCTCAAAGCCTCATCCAGCCTGGCCTTGAACCCCTCCAGGGATGGGGCATCCACAACTTCCCTGGGCAACCTGTTCCAGTGTCTCACCACCCTCACAGTAAAGAGTCTCTTTCTAATATCTAGTCTAAATCTGCCCTCTTCCAGTTTAAATCCATTACTACTTGTCCTGTCACTACATGCCCTTGTAAAAAGTCCCTCCCCAGCTTTCCTGTAGACCCCCTTCAAGTACTGGAAGGCTGCTGTAAGGTCCCACTGGAGCCTTCTCTTCTCCAGGCTGAACAACCTCAACTCTCTCGGCCTGTCCTCATAGGGGAGATGTTCCAGCCCCCAATCATCTTCGAGGCTCTCCTCTGGACCCATTTGAACAGCTCCATGTGCTTCTTCTGTTGGGGGGCCCAGATCTGGATGCAGTAGTGCCAGAGGGGCACTGTCCATGTTGCCAATAAAGATGTTAAATAGCAGCGGTCCCAGTAATGATCCCTGAGGAACGCCACTCATCACTGTCTCCATTCGGACATTGAGCCGTTGACCACAACTCTCTGAGTGCGACCGTCCAGCCAATTCCTTATCCAGTGGGTGGTCCATCCATCAAATCCATATTTTTCCAGTTTGGCCACCAGGATGTCGTGTGGGACAGTGTCAAAGAATTCATTAATTTTAGGAGTCAAGAATTGAAGAGATGAGGGAAAAGATGGACTTTTTAAAAAAATAAACTACCTGCAGAATATAGTGGTTAGAAAAGGCCTAGGTTATTGCACTTTGAAGTCCCATGAGCCATAGAATAATTAAAAAGGGAGGTGGGAGACAGCCCAGGTACATTGTCTGTAGCTCTGACAACATCTCCCTTCACCATAAATCATTTGCTGGTGTTCTGTTGAACGTAGTTTCAGTGTGATTTCCAGCTGAGCTTGGTGAAATTTCCATGGGGTCTGATGTCCTGCAACACTAACATAGTTTGTGAAGCTTAGAGTACATTAAATGGAAAACCTATCACAGTTGGTAATCCTTCCAGGTGAACTTGGGCTCAGTGTCAAGAATGGGATTGATTTATAGTGCTAGGCAAAATCCACAACAAACTTAGTGGTTTTCCTTGTGTTTGATGTTCAACCAGGTTTAATTCAAGGGAACTGACTCTGGCACTCCCCGCAGCCCTTGTACACAGATTTGAGCAGCACACAGGAGTTCACATCGTACAGAAAGATACTAGAAGCAGTAACTCACAATGCAGAGAGAGCATAGGACCAAACAGGAATCCTGTGTCAGACAGGACAGAGAGCTTGGATGCTGTGTATGCACCACTGAACAAAACAAATAATCAAGGGTCTAACACAGCCCAGGTAGTGCTTCCATAAATTAATGCAGCCCCCAATTTAAAGTTTTTTTCCTCCTCTCCCTCCTCCCTCTCCCCAGCATGGGTTGTACCTTGTGTCCTTTGCTTCCAGAAGGCACAGACTGAATTTCTTGGGGAGGGGGGGGATGGGGAGAGGAGGGTGTAGGGGGTATGTGGATTGTAAATGTATAATTTAACATGCAAAACCATGCAGACAGAACCTGAAGGTAATTTTGGAGAGCACACCTGCAAACTGAAGCTGACAGATTTTATATATTAACCTTCTCCATTATCCCCCAATGGAGGCTTTTCCACAGTCTAATGAATCTTACTGTCAGGAAGGGTTTTCTGGTATTCAAAACAGATTTTCCCTTTCTTAATTTCATCCCATTACGCCTAGTCAAACACTGTGAACAGCACTAAATTATCCCTTTCAGTCCTAAGGGCACAATTTGTGCATGGTTATCATGTCCAACTTTGGCTATTACTTACCAAAGTGGAGCAATACATGTGCTCTTCTTTAATCTTTTTTGGTGAGTCAGTCTCCTCAGCCCCTGGATTGTTTTGCTTAACTGTCTTCAATTTGTTGCTCTTTTTTTTCTTTTCCTTTTTTTCTTTCTTTTTTTTTTTTTTTTTCCTCTGAAATCCCCACAGATGAATGGCTGAATGGAGCATTCCAGGTGTGGCTTTACCTGAGCTGTTTAGAAAAGGGCTAATACCCCCCAGCGCCACTGAGCCTTTTGTTTATAGATCCACAAGTCATACTGCCCTGCTGCCATATTTCAAACTTGTGCTAACTTGCTGGCCACTGTAAGCTCCAGGCTATTTTCATTGCATTTTATTTCAAACTCTATCCTTTCAAAGATCCTTCAATTGGTTTTTTTTTAAATTATTTTCCATTTTCACAGATTATTCTCATTGTGTTTCCTGTCTGTATTTCTTATTGCTTTCTGTTTTTCCTGCTATTTGAAAAACTTTCCAATTTAGAAGCATCTGCGACTTTTATTAGCGTGTTGTTTACTTCGAAATGATTGATGATAATACTAAAAGCATCAGCCTTTAGACCAAACCACTAAGGCTCTGTTTTATCCTGGCTAAGGCTAGACAGTTAATGTAAGAAGTGCCTTTCCCATGGCTCCCCCTGTTGTTAATGCAAGGACAGGAAACACCGGAGTGTGAGTCAGATTTTAGGAGGGCTGAATTATTCCTGAAATTAATCAAGGTTTAGGTGAGATGAATGCAGGCTTGTCTCCTTTGGCCTGAAAATGCCTTGGACTACCTCTGTGCTTTGATTTCAGCACTTTATTCCCTGTATACTGAGATCAATTTAACATTAACAAAAAAAAAAAAAAAAAAAAAAAAAGGGCCACATTTGTAAATCCTGGAAAATCTGGAAATTTCTAACATTAGAATAATGTTCTGATTCTCGTTACAACTGTGAAAACCAGACTAAGCTTGCTAAATTCAGTGGAGATAGTCCAGCTCTAATTCTGGAGTTGTATTTCATAATACGTGTTGAAGTAGGAACATGGGGAGAATTTGTTTCTTTGGATTTCATAACTGGAAAATCATGTTAATCAAAGCAATTGGTGCAGGAGGAGATTGCTGGAAATGTGTAATGACTGAGATGTCTTCATCAACAGGTTCAAAGACTACAGAGAACCACCTTGGTCTCATAATCAGTATGAGTTTTCTAAACAGTACTGGGCAGTCTTATCTGCTCGCTTGGCTTTTGTTATTCTGTTTCAGGTAAGTCTGTTTTGTTGCTGCAATTTCAGTCATAGAAACATCATATTAAATGAATTAAAATGTGTGTGCCAAAGAAGCCCATGCCCAGTAGAGCTTTTGTGTTTGCAGATACCCAGCCTGCTGAGGTGTGAGTGGGCTGCAGCACAGATTCTCCCTTTGGAGCACTGTGGCACACTTCCTCAGCAGAGGTTTGCTCTGCTTTCATGGAAGGGAAGACCCACAGCCTGCATTAGCCCCTTGCACTAGCAGCAATCCACAAAATACCTCAGGCTCTTGAATGTTTCACTTAAGTGGACTCTGTCAGCTTTTATACTCTCAGAGGCATCACTTGTAAAAAGCACATAAATGCTACTTAGGCTTGTGAAATGCTGGTTTTTACCCAAAGCAAGAAATAATCAGAAGTAATAAATTCTCCAAGGTCTTTTGCTACTTTCTACAAGTAAATGGAACAATTTCTCCCCACTGTGCAGATTTCATTGGCAAGGGATTTGCTATTATGGCTTGCCTTCTGAATGGCAGAAACCTTCTGCTCTCTTCCATGATCTGGGATCCCTCCACAGTCAAACTGGGCCCACTCCTCATATTGAAATCTGCCTGTCTTTTCTCCTCACCTGCCATATATTCTTAAGTGTTACTGTGAGTCTTGCCTGGTTTATATTGCCCTCTTCTGCTTCTTTGCTCTGTCTTCAGAAATGTTCCACCACAAACTGCAAAACATTTGAAACCAACTGGTTACGCTGGGCTTCAAATAGCCTGCCTGTTGTTCTGCCAGAGTACATTCCCTGGTTAATTAGCTCCATTGTCTCGGATGGGGTTGGAGAGTTCATGCTAGTAGCCTTGTCAGCAAACGTTCTCACACATTTTGAGACATTACACAACACATCACTTTTCAAAGCATTATCACGATAATGTAAACCCCAAAGCTTAATGGATCTATAAATTTCACAAACAGGCAAAACTTTTTGCCCAGTCTGTTTTATGGACATCACCTGTAATGACCTTGATACTTGAGGCTCAGGGTTGTGGCTTGTATGCTGTGGTAGTGTAAAAAAAATCCTGCTTGTCAGCAGACAGAAAGATTTGAGGACACATTGACCGTGAAAGTTGTCTGCTGTCTGCTCAGGCCACATTGGAAACCCATGGGTATGACTGTGTTGGAGGATGCTCTCACTGATGTTGCCCTTATAGTAATGGATTCTGAACTCAGTCTCAATGAATTTCATGTTGAGAACTGAGCACCTTTGGATGCCTGTAAAGAATAAAGTTGTTTTAGCTATTTAGGCCATGAATCATTTGATGAATCCAAGTCGCTTTCCCATTTCAAACCTAACTGAAGCACATGTTTAATTCAGCCACTCCTCTGAGGGGGAGTTGTGCACAAACGTGAACTGTTTGTTGAACTAAGATCTTACTCAACTGCTTAATACTACACACTGTCAGCAAAATGTGTTTGATACCTGCCTCATAGCTATAGCAAAGGTTTGCTTTTGCTCTAGGGTCAGTATTTTGGATTTTTCATACTTGCTTCACATCTGTTGCTGTGTTTGCAGAACTTGGTGATGTTCCTCAGTGTTCTGGTTGACTGGATGATTCCTGACATCCCCAAGGACATCAGTGTACAGATCAAAAAGGAGAAGAGCATACTTGTTGACTTCTTCCTGAAGGAAGAGCATGAAAAACTGAAGCTGATTGAAAGCTTTATCATACGTGACAAGCAGAAACACAAAAGTGGGACCAAAGGTGAAAAGATCCGGGCTGCCAGCTTCTGTCAGTTTAACCGAAGTCAGAAAGGCAGCTTTACATCCTTCAGCTCACAGCACACAGAAGTGTGACTCCTTAGGGAAGGGTAACATCCTATGCTTACCTCTGCAATACCTGCTTACTGTGTGACGTGATTCTGAGCCTTGAGCAAGGGAGGCAGAGACAGTCAAGGAGGAGACAGGGAGCAAAAAGGAGGCTTCTTTTGCTTCCTTAGAAACTCCGTATTCAAGGGTCTCTGTTACATTTTATATGCTATCTGGGCTGCGGCATTTTCAGACTTTACCAGTGCAAGATAAGGGCTATATTGTGGCTGTAGCTGGTCCTTGTGGTGATGCATGTGAGTTGGGTAGGCACACAGGAATTCTCACTCATGCAGCCTCTGTGGTAGGACCACAACCATTCCTCTTCATAGAGACACCATGTGGGGCACAGGGAATAAAAGGGACGCTCCTCCTCTAGTATCTATCTTTTGGCAAATCTGACTGACCAAGGCAAAGTCTGCACAAGACGTGGTCTCATGGCTTGTAGCTGCCAGCCAATAATATATAAACATGTGGAGTCTCAAGGAGTTATTGTGCCTTCCTACCATACACTGCCACTTGGTGCTGTCTCTGTAGAGCATGCAGGGCTGTTGTTAGGGACACAGAGCTGTGGCAACAGAAAGAATGAAAATCACTGAGCACTTTCATCTGCAGATATGTTGTGTTTTGCTTAGCAGGAGCTTGAATGGATGTGCTAATGAGCACAGAGGCCACAACATATGCATCAGAATGAAGTAAAGCTGCTAGAACCAGGGAAGCTCATTGTTATTTATTGTCCTGAACAAAAAAAATCCCTTGCATCTTTGATTCTCCGCTCACTTAGACTGGGAATTCAGCCAGTATCAAGAAGAATCCCGCCACTAAACCAACAGCAGTGCAAAGCTGACGAGTGAGAGTGGAATCAAGCCCCGTAAATCATCTAGCATTTTCATGTACATTGTGCATAAAGTAACAAAAGTTGCCACTGTTGTGCATTTACTGTGAAATAAAATATTTGGCAGAACTGCATTTCATTGGAAGATAAACTTATCCACTAACCAAGCTTTCATTTACAAGTATTTAATGAATAAATTTATTCTGTTATGAATGAAAATAAAATTTTCTTTAAAAATATGTTCTTTTCCTGTAGATTCTGTGTCTAACCAGTCTTGAAATTCAGTCTGGATAAAATATTTTCTTCTCATTTTGTCTGCTTTCTAAACCATCAAAAACACAAACCAAAAGAAGTGCTTCAGTTTCAGGCATTGTAGGCAATATGATTGCCCTTTAACATTATAATGGTATTATATATATTTCTGAAGCCTAAAAATTCATTGTTCTCTAGATGGAAAGATATTTTTATGAGAACTTTTGGTAATTTAATTAGAGGTGTGAAAATAATTGGGTTGTTTTCATTCAGTGCCTAAACAAAAAGAAAATGGGAGAACTCTTTCAGGGTAGGCTGAAATTAAAAGTTTCATTTTTAAAATTTCATTTATTTATCCCTTCTATATAGTAGATCAAATTTGAAATGATAACGTCACCTTAAATAAAACTGCAAATGTTTAACTTTGTTGAAAAAAAAGTCTGACCTCTCAAAATATTTTCTTCTTTTTCCCTTATCAAAATTCCATTGCTGAATTTCAAATGAAGTCAGAGAGAGTTCTTCTCCCTTCTGAAACATTTTTTGTTTGCTTGTTATTTTTAAATTAGTAACAATTTGTTAGGGATATTGCTCAGATCTCAGTTTGACTACATATGCTCAAGACTAGAAATACAGCTTGTAAATGTGCAAAAATGTGTAGTACAACGTTTCTCCCTTTTTTATATATACAGTGTCTAAAACAAGCTATTTGAAGAGCTCCTGACACAATGTATTGTATATAAACTATTGACTGTGTATATATTTGGTGTTTCTAATTAATTGAGCTAGATAGGAAAATATAGGAAAATAATCTTCTTCTTAGATACAATTTAAGCTTTTTCTTAGTATAAATACCTCATGGTCAGCTATGGTCATGTGAACAACATCCTTCTCAGGCCTGAAAGTCCTGTTATTGCATCTTGGGAAGGTTCAGGTGATGGGATTTGTATGATCAAAACGTAGCTATTAAAATTCAGGTAGGTTCATGCTGCAGCCACCAGAGAGAGAAAGACACCATGAGCCAGCTACTCATCCCATCTCAACACTGTTGCCTGAGATGGACAGACGAATCACCTCAGGGGATGCTCATCTCCTTCCCTCCACTTCAGTGGGAGCCCCAATGTCTGCCTTAGACTGTGCTTGGGCTTTAGGTTGCGGAAGACCAGCACCTGTCATCCTAAATCAGTGTGCTTGAGATGGTTGGATTGCAGAAAGAATTAACAAATACTAGCTTCCCAATTGATCATGCTTGTTTTCATAGAATCATAGAATCATCATTGTTTCGTTTTGTTTCAATCTTGCTAGGTGCTTGAATGAATATCTTTTTGTAAGAATGTGGTTCCCTGCTGGAAATCTGTGATTGGGCTAAGACATAAACCTTGTTTTTTCTCCTCTAAGATTAATGTTTAAATGAGGGCATTGTATCTCCTCAAAAACAAATTGTCTCATTTTACTTTCAAAAGACCAATAAGCCCTGTTGGGGATTCCATGATCTAATATATTAAGGCAGTCAATATTAATAACATCCATTCCCTCATTTACAGTAGAGGGTATTCTGGTGGGGGATTTGGGGGCTTGTGACTGTCTATGTTTGTTGTTTGCAATACTAGTTGATTGAAATACAATCAATTTTCTTCACTCCAAAATGCCTCTGATGGGGAGAAACGTTGTGTTTCCAAGCAGTAAAAATATCAATCTTGCCAGACCTTTAGATTATCTTAATTCTCCTTTTTTTTTTTTCTTTTTTTTTTTTTAAGGTATGTGAGAGTGCCTGCAGAAACGGGTTTAGAAAGAAGCTTACATGCAGTGGCTTATTCGATGAAGGATATGTAAAGTTAAGCCTCTTCTTAAAATAGAACCATTTTTGTACACCCTCCCTCTACCCAGGAAATGCCCTCTTGTCTTTTTAAACACTGTGAGTCACTCAAAAACAGTCAGAAAAATGCTATCCCAACGTTGAATGCATTAGGTTTTTGTTACACAGAATTTCTAAAACACACAACTGAAATGCTTGCTATGGTCCAAAAATGATAATGTGTTTCTAGATTTCCTAGTAAAAGGAACTACAGAAGCTGGCAGACGTACACTGATGCTCTGAAAGTTCTCCTGAGGTTTATATATTTCACTGAAACAAGGCTGGGAAAGCATCATAGAAGCAATCACAGCTGACATACAGATGGGATCTACCATGATATCACAAACAGGACAGACAGCTCAATTATCTTTATCTGTGATATGGTTTCTATTTTTTCACTTAAACTTGAGAGTTTCATTCACTCAGAACTCCTGCATGTTTGGTACTTGACTCAGGTGCAGTCCCTGAGGATTGCATCCTTTGTTACATTTCTATGGCAACCTCTAGATTCTCCTGACACCTGCTTCCCATCAGCGCCTGTAATTGTAGATCACTAATCAGGCATTCATTCATTCCAAGTTTCTAACTTATCTCTTTTGGACAAAGCAAGACTCCATCTGATCCCTTTTTATCAGCATGATACTTGTAAGTCTACCCACAAAGTGCCCGCTTGCCATAACTTGTGTCTCAGAAGGGGAGAATGACTGTTTCAAGAGATGTGCATGGAAAGCTCTCTCTAGGGAAGAAGAGAACAGAGATGCAAGCAGAAACACAAAGAGGTAACAAAACCTGTGAGCTATTGTAATTTCTTGCTTTAGCAATGAAAATGAGCTAAAATCTCTGCAAAAGAAAGGAAAAAAAAATTGTATAGATGTTCCTGCACATTTAGTTCAGAATTTCATAGCCCTCTGGATTGTTCCAACCCTGAATTAAGTAAAAAGCCCAAGTAAAACAAACAAACAAACAAACAAAAAAATCCTGCATCCCTTTGCACGTGAGTAGCTAATACCACACTGATTACTACACATAGTCACAAAACACTGAATCCACAGTCTAGGTTTCATATGGAGTCGCATTAATAGGAATGTACAAAATTGCACATCAAATCAGAACAGTGAGAATAGGAAGTAGAAAAGTGGAGGAATGAGGCTTGTATAAAGTCTTAACACAGATATAATTGGATGTAACCGTGTAATTATCAGGCAATGTAAGGTGTGTCCACCTCTGTGTCCAGCAGAAGCTCATGGCAACTGAAAGAGGTTGCTGCTACATGTACCACAGCTTCTTCTTTGGACCATTCGTGCAAGGTAGCTTTAAACAGCTTGTGGAAATTATTCAGAAGAAATCGACCCAGATTGAAGGAAGTCCCTGCTCTGAATCATGCTACGAACTTAAACACCGTTCAGTTACAGAATCCATCTAACACACACAGTCAGATGAACCCTCTCATGGTGGTTATCCCTAGTTTTAAAGAGGTCTTTCAGGAACTGAGTGAAGCTGCAGCAATTTTAGCCCTTTCTGTCATGTCTTCTTCAAGCAGACTTGCCTGTTTTTTTAATCATCAGCACTAGATGACTTTTTGTGATGGGTATCATTGGCTTTTCAGTCCTCAGCATTCTCAGTATGTAGAAAATATTACTATCTAGAACTCTTCTGCCGTTTGACCTTACATGACACTAAAAACTGATGAAATGTAGTCCAGGAAGAAAAGGGTAGCCTATGTGGAAGTATGTCTGTTAAATTACTGCTTAGAAATATCCAACTCAACATGCACAATATTTACCACTGTTAGAAATAAACTCTTCTAACTACAATAATGTAACATCTGTTACTGTTATGCAGTTTCACCTTTTAATTAGGCACAGATGGTCTTCCCATTCCCCGTCTGGTCTAATTCTTTTGCTTTTGAGAAGAAAATAGAAACCAGTTTTGTTTGTGACCTATTCTTCTAGGTAAATTCCTCCACACTCTACTCTGGTTAAAGATATCTCATGTGTCCAGTAACACAAGATTTTCAGATACACCAGTCCAAAGTACCTTTATTGCACATAG